ACATGTTCCCTTTGAAAGAAGAAAACGTGTTTGTGCTCCTTTTAATAATGTAAATTAAAAATATCAGATCTTTAGGGACTGGGGTTGTGGCTCAGTGGCACAGCGGCTTGCCTTGCACATATGAGGCACTGGGTTTGATCCCCAGCACCACATAAAAGTAAATAAACAAAAAATAAAGATTTTTTTTAAGACCTAGATTTTTATTTAAGCATGAAAATCAGTTTTCACTTAGTCATGTTTTAGTGCCTAGAGTTTGAAGCACAAGAAACGTTTCAAAGCAAATGCCATTCGTTGTTTGTTCTTTTTAGATATATGACAGTAGGGTGTATTTTGATATATTATACATGAATGGGGTATAACTTCCCATTCTTGTGATTGTAAGTGATGTGTAGTTACACTGGTCATGTATTCAAGTATGAACATAGGAAAGTTATGTTTGATTCATTCTACTGTCTTTTCTATTTCCATTCCCCTCCCTTCCTTTTATTCCACTGTGTCTAATCCAATTATCTTCTATTCTTGGCAAATGTCATTCTACTGACTGATTACATTCACTTGACCAAATTTTACTTCCTTTCCCACAAAGAAGACCATTGTATAATTATTAAATGCTATACACACCTTTTTTTTTTTTACATTGCATCAGACTAAGAAGGCTTGTACAATTATGGTAATACAGGAGTCATTCACTGTTTTCTTCAAGAAATGCTAAATTTATACAGAAATAGCATTTGACAAAATTCTACACCTTTTAAAGAAGAAAGCAGTCAATAAATTAGGAAGGAAAGAAACTAACTTGATTTAACAATGGCTATATATAAATGAAAAGCCCGTAATCCAAAAAGGAAGTCAAGAAAATGATCCACTTAAAATAACATCAAAAGGATTAAAGTTTCAAAAAATAAACAAGAAAGCAAAAGATTCACATGAAAAAACCACAAAATATTGTTGGGAATGTGGCACAGCATTAAAATTTGCCTGGCATGTAGGAAGCCCTGGTTTTAATCCCCAGTAAAAAATGAGCAAAGAATTTGAATAAACAATTCTCCAAAGATGGTATATAAATGGCCAGCAAGCATATGAAATGACACTCAACATCCCTATTCATTAATGAAGTTCAGTCAACCTACAACACGACATCACATCATACCATGAGGATACTACTATAAGAAAAACCAAAAGTAAGAAGTTTTGGCAAGGATGCAGAGGAAACGGACCCTTGTACACTGTTTATGAGAATGTAAAATGTTCAGTCACTATGGGAAATAGTTCCTCCAAAAATCAAAGAGTGGGCTAGGGTTGTAGCTCAATGGTAGAGCCCTTGCCTAGTACATGTGAGGCACTGGGTTCAATTCTCAGCACCATAAATAAATAAATAAATAAATGTCCATCAACAACTAATTTTTTTT